AATATCCGAAACGAAATGAGTCACATGTCCGACCCGTTCGAGTGGTTCATGAATTAGGTTAGGTGACATTTGTGCTAAAATCCGTTTGTGTCACTGAACATTGGAGCACATGAATGCAACTGTTCCAACCGCCATCTTACCTATGATCCAAGTGCTCTCTGAGTTAATTTGGAGCATGTGACGCGACGAATAAATCTATTTATTAACGGATACCACAAACGAGATATTATTAAAGACCGTTAATCATGGGCAAATTTTCGACGATATAAAAAGGATTCCAAGAAGGTAATTAAAGAACATTGACATTATCGGCAATTAGTATAAATTTGCTATTATTAACATAAAAATTTGGCTCATATTATTACATTATTAAATTCGATTTTTTATTACATAAAGGTTCCATAAATAAATATGCATACTTGTAAAGCCATAATATTCTATATATATTGCAGAAAAATTTCAATTTTTTTCTCTGCAGTTATCATCTCTTAATAATTAAACTTTGAATGATAACACAAAAATCACAATTTTAAAGAAAAATCGAGTATTATTGAGCTCTAAATGCATAAATACATCTACTAAACTAACAAATCATAAAATTAGCACAATATTATCAGTTTTTAATTTTTAATTACTTCAATAATCATAACGCGAACTCCCGTAAGGATGTCTTTAATAGTATCTCTCGTAAGAAGACTTTAATAGTACCTCATTAATAGTATCTCGATCATTCAGGATTTGTTCGTTATAACAAACTACATTTTACAAAAATTTCAAAGTTTTGCATTTAAATCTCGATGAACAAAGAGCGAGTGGAAAAAAGGTCTTTTTCGATGATTTTTATATTTTTTTTTTCAACTTAACTAATGGACCGAACGTTTGATGTCTCGTTTTGTAGTATTTCAAATATCTACACTTTTCATACTTTTCCTCATATAATCGACATCTTTCATTTTATAAGCGAAAAACCTGCTTTTTGCAACTGTTCGATTTTTTAAGCAATTTCCCACACGAATTGCGAGTCTCAAACATATGCATTCCTTTTCTGATGGTCTTCAGAAAATTTTCGTCGAAAGAAATATCAACTTACAATTTTTTCATGAAACTTTTTTAGTCTAATTCTACTGGATACAATAGACTATATTGATACAATTAAGTTTAACAAATATTTCAGTACGTCGAATTATAAGAAACGTTCTTATCCAATGAAAAATGACCCAGCAAACGAGAATGGATTGAAATGGATTAAAAATTCAAATTTTCAGAAACGATTCATAAATGTTAAAATGAATTCTTTTCAATCCTGAATGCATTTTATTTCATTTATAGGAATTGCATAGAGCATATCTCTATTCCTTTAAATCTAAAAAAAATTAGCATTTTCTGTGCATTATGAATACTATACTCGATTCAGAATTATGAATAGGAAGTACAGTTTTTTTAGTTCAGTTTAAATTCAAAAATAATATCAGTAATTTCTGTGCAATATGAATACTGCTCAATTTAATATTCTGAATATGAAATGCAGTTTTTCAATCTAATTGAATAAAAAGTTTTTATTTAAAAATGGACCATAAATGCTACTTAAATTATTCAAAATTATAATAAGTAGAAAATTTTTCATTTTAATCTAACTAAGTTCAAAAAAGTGTAACGTAAAAATAATTAAGTTATGTTTTTCTGTTTCTCTTTGATTAGAAGTAAAATAAATGATCGATGTAAACACTCGCAAACTAAGTCGAATATTAGGCTAATCACAGTGTGACATCGGCCAAATGAGAGTAGAGAGTAGATTATCTGACATCCATGTTGTCTCATAGTAATATAAATTGTTTATACTTTATTATATCTGTTAAATGATATTTTTATTACATCTATATAATTTTGTTACTAATTTAGCTGATTGTAATTGAAGTAGATAATGAATAACACATTTACCAATTGAAGAAATGGTATAGCAGGTAATACAGAAGATTCATAATCCAGAAGTCCCAGATTCGAATCCCACTAAGATGCGTTTTTTAATACAGTTTGAAGTAATTAATTTCAGGTATAATTATTATACTACATGAGTTGAAAAGTCTCAAGATTTTTAATGAAAACAAGCGTTTTTTGGGCAAAGTTATATTTATTCCTCACATAGTTGCCTTCGAGGGCGATACACTTGGTATAGCAATTTTCCAACATTTCGATGCCCTTTCTGTAGTACGAAACGTCCAAGCTTTCGAAATACGCCTCGGTTTCCGCGATGACTTCCTCATTCGATGTGAATCTCTTTCCCTGGAGCCACCGCTTGAGGTTTGGGAACAGATAATAGTCGCTGGGGGCCAAATCTGGAGAATACGGTGGGTGAGCAACCAATTCGAATCGTAATTGGTCCAATTTGGCCATCGCTTTCAAGGTGTGTGACGGTGCGTTATCGTGATGGAGAACGAAGGAGAAAGTAGCATTTAAATGACTGTAGTTTGTAAACGAATGAACGAAATGTCATGAAACTTCATACATAAACTAGTGACAGATGAACCTCTCGAAATGAATCATGTTCATTTTTTAGTGGCGCCACGTATTGAAAAATCTCGGGACTTTTCAGTAATGTAGTAAATGTCTTAGGAATAAAATTTGTAACTCTTAAATATGAATGTTTTTTTTCAAATGTTAACTAGTGTCAGGTCGGATCCAAGCCTTTTCAATCCATTCAATCTATTTTTATGGATTTAAAGTACGCATTAAAAGAATTTTAATCCATTCTCGTTTGCTGAGAACGAAATCGATATCAAATCATCGATTTGATACTTTCGACGTCGAATCGATATAGATTCCATTATCATTTCTCACTAGATAGAATTCGATTTTTTAATTATTGGAATTAATTATTGGAATAATTGTATATCAATGATAGTTTTATACTTATATGCTTATCGCACGTAATTATTATCTAATTTCGCTCTATTACAACATTTTTCTATCAATTTTAACAGTGTAATTAAAAAACAATTCGATACTCAAAGAGTTCAATATTCATTTCAATTTCATCATTCTAATTTATAATGTAACGAAATTAGTATACTTAAAGTGAAAGACAAAGAGATAGTGTGACAGAGGAGAACGTACATGTTATAAACGTGTGAATGTGTCCGATTAGTTTGCGTCCTGCGCGTAAAATGTCCGTATCTAACGTGAGCGCCACTCCTGTTCATGTCCTTTACGCGACCCTTTACGCTAATTATTTCTTCTTGTAATTTGAAAACTAAGTTTTGGACAAAATTTTCGCAAAGAAAAAATCGTCTTAGAATTAGATCAGAAATGCGTCTTTTCAGGGACACCTGAATCAACTTTGAGTTGTTCTTAATCACCTTTTACATTCACCTATTATGCGCGTTTTATTTCACTTATTAATTTCACTATGGTCATGACCTTGATAACATATGTCAAGGTCATTGGAGGAAGCTCTCCTAAATAGGATATTTACTTATATTTCTTTAAAATACCTAAATTGCAACTAAGAAAAAAAAAAGCTAAAACTTATTTAGTCAAAATCTAATCAATATATTTCTCATGAAATCTAGGCGCTGTACTGGAATATAACTCAGTGATAAATTCCATCGTATTATTCGTTAATTTTTGCAGTAGATATAGCTACACATTTTCAGCAAAAGTCAAACGGTTTCTTCCTTTTATAATCGAGTAAAATTAGAATTTGAACGGAGAAAAAAATTTTAACGAGCATTTCATTTCAGCTTTAGGCCATCAGAAAAGAAATGTATATGTTTAAGGCTCGTGACTCATGTAAAAAATGTACGAAAAAGAATTCGAAAGATTGCAAAAAGCAGATTTTTCGCTCATAAAACGAAAGATGATTATAGTATAGAAAAAAGTTCAGTATGAAAAATGTAGATATTCAAAGATACCAGAAGATTTGCGGGTTATTGCCATGTTTTTATCTATTGCTAATGTAGATATTCAAAATATCTACCAAATGAGACATAAACTGTTGAGAACAATCCATTAAATTGAAAAAAAAAAATACCAAAAAATCTTTCTTTACTCGCTGTCTATTCATCTAGATTTGAACGCAAAGCGTTCTTTGAAATTCTCGTAACCTTTGTTATGATGAAAAAATCCACCCCTATTTGAACATAAAATATTCTTACAAAAAGCTGTTAATTTATTAAAAACTTGTCCGCGGAAAATTTAATTTCCAAAACAAAAAAAATGGGATTCTGAAAATAAGTATAATTATATTTAAGAACTTAAAATATGTCAATATATGTAAATATGTCAGTAGATAATATATTATATAATGATATATTTTAGGTAAAAAAATTTTTATTTTTTTCCGACATGTTTGACCAAATCCAAAAATCTGAAAAAGTATTAAATATATGATAAACTGCTGAATTATTATAGAAGTAGTTAAACATTCAGATTATATAAAAAATGCGATTTGTAATTCTTGAATTTTTTAAAAACAGAATTTTGGGCAAAAAATGACAAAACTCTTACTCTAATCTTTTTGATACTCTTTATGGCCATGATTTTTCTTTTAAAAATCCGTTTGGATTTAACGGAAAAAAAAGATAATGAAAAATCATATTTTTTTCGATATCTCAAAATGATGTGGCTTTTTGGGATGAAAGTTCGTACGTAATATTCTTTCATCTGGGTATCGGAACTCTTCCCGGCAATTGATTACGTGGGAGACCTGAAATTTTTTCCTTATGCTATTCTTTATTAAATAAAATTATTCATATGGCTTACTTTTTTTATATGTATCATATAATGGTACATATAATCTTGCAGTACCCAATTAATATTCTAAATGTTTTTCGCGTCACACAAGGTATATTTCTTAGTTTCTTGTGTATTTCAATTCCGTATTACTTTGACAACTGCCATAACCGCTTAATGTTATTACATACATCCGTAGATAGTGACTCATACTCTGAAAATTTTTGCGTATTCTACAAAAACCATCAAAAGAAAAAGTAGATGTAACAATGTCCATGACTGTATAGCAATTTATTTAATGATAAATTCAGAAGAGCATGTTTGTGCAATTACGAAATATACATTTTCATAATAAAACTCAACTTGATTATTTTTTTTTATAAAAGTAATTCGTAAAAATGCTGCAAAAAGAAAGAGAAAAAAACGTTATCGTCAAAATTCATAAACTTTAGGGAAGATATATATATATATATATTGAGAAAACAAATACTTTTACCTTATTCGTATAATACTGATCTTTAATTTTCTTTTCTTATTTGTAGCTTTCATTTTTATCTTTATTTTGGGAAGTTTGTAATATAAGACGTTCAAGTTGTTTTCTTATTAATTGTAAAGAGTCACCAGAAATCAGTTTTTCCTGTTGTAATAAGTCAAACAGTTTTTTTATTAAAGTAACTCTTTCGTTATATCTTCTCAACTTCTGTTGTAATGTTCTATTCTTTACTTTCATATCTTTTACATTTTTTGATAATTCATTTATTTTTTTTGTTGCATTAATAAAATCTATTTCCCTTCTTATTTTATAGTTGAAATTAATGGAACTGGGCAAAATAGGCACATTTTTTAAACCAATTCGAATAAATTTACGTTTTTGACCTGGCTGAAGAATTGCTTGCTGATTTGGATTTCGAGTGCCAAATATATTTGATCCATCATTTTTTTTTATAATAACATTATGATATTTTGAGTAGTTGTGATCTAATGCAACACTTTTCTCTGAGACATAAGTTTCATTGGAACTTATAGATTTATTACTGCTTGTAGAATTGTAGATCTTATTTGAATCAGATCGAAAAAAACTGCATCTTTTATTTAAGTGAGAAATTGTATTTTTAATCGATTGATTTTGGTTTTCAGTGTCAAATATACACAATCCATAATTTTCAATCGTAGTGTTAATATCGTTCTTTAAATTAGTGTGATTTCGTACAGCATTTTTGTCAAAAACACAAGTTTCACTAGAATTTACAGATTTAATGTTTGCAGAATTGCAGATCTCTTTTGAATAAGTTTGAATAAATTTATATTTTTCATTTGTGAGAAATGTGTTAGAGTGAATTGTTTTTTGAACTGATTGATTTTGGTTTTGAATATCAAACATATTTGATCTATTATTTTCAATCATACTAACATTATTCTTTAAATTATTGCTATCCCATGCAACACTTTTCTCCAAGCTACAAGTTTCATTAATGTTTATAGATTTATTAATACTTGTAGTATTGCAGATCTTTTTTGGCTTTAACATTACATCAACCAGTTCATTTTCTGTGAGAAATGAAGAATAATCTTTTGGTATAGCATTTTTACGTAAATAAGAACGTTGATATCCCATCCCTTCTATAATGTCCTTTTTATTAAAATGCAGATTACAAATTCTGCTTGCTTTTGTCGGTTTCCAATCCGGTTTTCCAACAGCAGCAATCCATTTGTCAAGACGATTTTTATCGTTTAGAGGAAACCTATGACATTCAAAACAATGCTTATTCAATAAATTAAATCGGATCACTTATATCACTTATATCAATAAATCAAATAAGTAAGCGTCAAATGCGTTTCAAATGGAAGCTAAATATTGTAATAGTATTTCTAAATTTTACATGCACCTATATACAGAATATATAAAAAGCCAGGATGGCGAAATATTTCGAAAACTAATAGCGGATTTAACAGACCGTCCTAGTGTGCACTGAATACGAACTTTTTCGGTGCCACACATTCGGATTATGCTGTATCAGTGCGTTCAGATTGTCGTCGTATTTGGCAAATGAAAATTGACTCAGTGTAGTGCTGAATTAATATTTGAATTGAACGAGTCCAAAAAATGTTGCACTGATATTTCTGATAATGCAATTTGATATAATATCAAAGATCTGCACTCGCACCACGTTTTAAGAGCAGCATCAAAGTAGATGTGTATATTATTTGCCCATATCATTAATCGACTAATTTAAAGAAATACTAAGAATCGGCCGTTATGAGTGGTGTGTACAATTAAACTGTGTGCAAGTGTATCGCTCCCCCAGCATGTGAGCCGAAATTGCCATAAGCATTTAAGGAAAAAGTGTTTCAAATAAAAGTAGGATTTCAAAAGATCTAATTACTGATGTTATGAGTTTGACCTTGGGTGGCGTCGCCAGAGGGGTCAGATCGATGTTTTAAATCTATTTATTCTCAATTCCAAAATCTAACTAGTGTCAAGAGTTTTTCAAAATACCACAATTCAATTTTTATTAAGTATTTTTCGAGTTATGAGGCTTGAAAAGTACTGTACTGCCGTCATTAGCATTACTCAAAGGTGTTCAATCGACGACTAAAACCTCTTGAATGTTGTTCAAGATTTGGATAATATTTATCAGAATCAAGATCAATGGAGATTGTTTCTATTATTTTCATTTTTTTAAATAAATTTTTAATGCAATGAAAATAAGAGGAATAACCTCCAATAATAATCTTGATCTTAACAAATGTTACTCAGGACCTTGAGCAACATTCAAGATAATTTTAGTCAGTCAGCTTGGGAAATGCTAATATCGGCGATACTGTCTTTTAAACCTCGTAATTCGAAAAGTAATAAAAATAAACTTTATTGTAGTGTTTTGAAAAGCTCTTGACATGAACTATTAGATTCTAAAATTAAAAATAATGTAAAAAATTGATGTAATCTTGATCTGACCTTGTCGATTCCACTCAAATCAAACTCATAGCCAATAAATAGAGTTTTTTAAATCCTATAACTTTAAATCCTCTACAATTTTTATTTAAAATATTTTTTTCTAAAATGTTTAGTCTTCGAAAAATTTCGCCGGTACTTTTTATACGCTCTTGTATAAATAATATGCTTATATGAACAAATCAAGTAAGAAAACGTTAAATGCGGTGGAGAATTATTTGTACATGCTCGTCTTTCAATGCGTTTTGTCTTTAAATATATTGACCGATGTGAACCTGGCACTCAACTTTATTAAAAATAAAAATTAATACTGCAGGCCGTTTGTACTTCGTTTGTACTTGTTTGTACCGATCATTATTTCGTTTGTACCTCAAACAGTTAAACAAAAAGTGAAAAATAAAAAATGGCCAGTGCGCAACTTTAAAATTTTTTAATTTCATTTATGCCATTCGAAAGAGAATCGTTTGTACCCGTTTGTACCTCTCTTATTTTCGTTTGTATCTCAAAGGGTTCGGAGATACAGCGCGTTTCAGTTTTTGCGCAATCCCTATATATAGTATCTCCGAACTCTTTGAGGTACAAACGATTCTCTTTCGAATGCTGTTGGTCCCATTTCGATATCTTTAAAAATGACCGACTTACTCTCTTGACGCATTTATGAAATTTTGAAATCGCTGTATCTCCGAACCCTTTGAGGTACAAACGAAAATAAGAGAGGTACAAACGGATACAAACGATTCTCTTTCGAATGCCGATGGTCCCATTTCGATATCTTTAAAATTCGCTAAATTTACTATGTAGGGGTTGCGCAAAAACTGAAACGCGCTGTATCTCCGAACCCTTTGAGGTACAAACGATTCTCTTTCGAATGGCATAAATGAAATTAAAAAATTTTAAAGTTGCGCGCTGGCCATTTTTTATTTTTCACTTTTTGTTTAACTGTTTGAGGTACAAACAAAATAATGATCGGTACAAACAAGTTCAAACGAAGTACAAACGGCCTGCAGTATTAATTTTTATTTTTGATAAAGTTGAGCGCCAGGTTCACATCGGTAATATATTGGCGATAAATATACTATACCGTTCAAAGGTTGAATTAAAACCCATCTTAAATAGGTTACAGTTTCAGAGAAGGAACTATCCTATTTTTCTATCCTAGTTTCTAGGATGGAAAAAATTACACATAATTACTCTTCTCTGTAACTACAATATTTAGGACGGGTTTTAATTCAACCTCTGAATCACGTAATATATTTATTGCTAATAACCAATACATTTAAAGAAATTGAAAGACGAGCATGTACAAATAATTGCCTTCACCGCTTTTGACGTTTTCTTACTTGATTTGTTTATATAAGCATATTGTTACATTGCATACAAGAGCGTATAAAAAGTACCGGCGAAATTTTTCGAAAACTAAACATTTTAGAAATGTAAAAAATGATAAATTTTAAGTATGTTAAAAATATCATTAAAACATCTTTTATTCCTTCTATTTTATATAATATCTTTTGTTTTATAATATCATATTATGTCTTTAAAATGTCTTGTATCCCCATTTTGGACATGTGCAGTTGAAATTTTATACATATATAATGTTTTTAGTAATTTTGTTGAAAATGCTCATGAACAGATAGAGCGGATTAAACTGATTGTGAGTCGAAAAATCTTGTATCATTTTGTAATAGTTAATAATATTAATTCATAAAAATCGCCAAATAAGCGCGCGAATCCTAGTTGCGTACTTGAGCAAGATGACTGAAGCGCTATCTGAGCGACAGAAGAATATATTTTTTCTTGGATCTTTTTTCAAAACGCTAGTTGCATATCTTAAGCAGCGCTATCTACTGTTATATTTGAATAATTTTTGGATACATCTGTTAAAATATGTATAGTAATCCGTTAAATAGTTGATCTTTTTAAAAATGAACCGTTCTACTCAAAAGTGTTCCTAATTGCAGAAATAGTGAAATTAAAAAATCCCATTTTTATTCATTTCTTGGTGAAAGAAACGGGAATTTGAGTGAAAAGGAAAATGAATTCGAGTGAATCGTTTGGAGTAATTATTTCATATTAAAATTAATTCGAATAGAGATCCATAGTATTCAGTAGCTTTGTTTTAATAAAATACTTTTATTCACTTCAGAAAAAATGACAAGCCGTAGACACCGAGCCATAGACGAGTAAAAAGTTCAAGAATATGCAGTGTTCATTTTGTTGATGGAAAAAAGTCTGATAATCTCAGAAATCTATTTATTTACGATCTATTTTTTCGGATAAGAGATAAAAAAGTATCTGAGGCCCATATGAAACGATTTACGATACGAGCAAGAAACTGGAGTAAACAAGCAAATTATCTGGCTTTAAATAATCTGGAGACTTGACGCTAAGACATGGCTTGAGAGAGAGACTGTAGTGCCTCCTTTAAGCCGTAAACCGGTGAGTTGCACCAGATCGGATCTCAATAACGGCTGTCCCGATTGAGTTTTAAGTACATTTAATCGATAGCTTACACTCCAATTGTATTATACGTGCTTTTATTTTTTCTTTACGTACTCTATAAGCGAAAATATTACAATGCAAAATTGTTAATAATTCTACTACAAACGCATAGATTTAGAATTTATCACAAATACTCGAAAAATTCTGGTATTCAAACAGATGAAAATTGTTAGACAGACCTTTCAGAAGCTCTGAAGACGAGAGAATTGAGTATCCTATTCTGTTACAATACGAATACAGAAGTATCTACATAAACCAAAATCACTGTTAAAAGAAAAAGCACAATATATAATATTAAAACAAAATCAGAAATGAGAAGCACAACTTCTGGTACAGATTTAATAATACTAGATTGATTCAATGGATTTGTTGACATTAAGACTGATTAGCTAAATGATAAGCTAATAATCAATCAGTATTTAGCTTTAAATATTTTTAATAAAAAGAGTATTATTCAGATTATAATTTATATCTATTTATCTCTATTTTAATTCCATAGAGTGATTCATTTGCATTAGTCGGATAACGAGAATCCTTCGATCCAATCTATTTTTAAAATCAATATTTAGAAACGGATACATGACGACTTTTTACAAGTCGGCTACCTTTGGAAATACTTTCCGATTCGAAATCACATTTTATCATTTTTCTTGAAATCCACACTCAATAATAACCATTTTTAATAATTAATTTATTATTTTCTAGTAATTGTATCAGGATTGGATCCTAATAATTGTATTAGGATGTGGATGACATCGATTTTTGAAAAAAGAAATGTATTCTTCTGTCGCTCAGATAGCATTTCAGTCATCTTGCTGAAGTATACAATTTTGACAGATAAATCCAAAAATTATTCAAATATCAAAGTAAATAGCACTACTCAAGGTATGCAACTAGTATTTCTATCTAGAAACACTATTAGGAACACTATATACAATTAGCGCTAAATACACTCTCATCGATCGTGATTGCGCAAGAAATTGTTTATTACATTACAAACAGCAAGTTACGCACGACGACGAAAGAAAACAATTGAAAAAAATACTCTGATTTTTTAAAGAATTAATTTTTTTCACTTTCTATTCTTTCTCTATACATGAAGAATATCTTTACAAAAGTTCTAGTCGATAGCTGAAAAACTTTTGTACATTTAAAACTAATTATCCAAAAAACCTATGAAATGTATTATATTACAATTCTAATTTTATTTGAAAGATGAATTCTCTATCACTTTCGTTTCGATACTTTTTGTTATTATAAAAAATGCATATATTGTATTTATAAAAA